TCGCTGTTCTCTGCAAGCCACGCACAGCGAACGATAACTCTGCGATCCAGCAAGTATCGCAGCTCCATAGGGCTATCTTTGTGGAACGCGGTCTTCACCCTCTCGAACACCTTTCTACGCAGCGCACGGAGGCCAGCTCTCTCTGGGCAGCGCGCGCACATGCCATGCCGCAAGCATTCGCCATCCACGAATTGCGCAGGTTCAGCGGCGGCAGCATATGATATCGCTGGGTCGTCGGGCAGCAGCCTGTGCAAGTGCTTCCACATCATCTCGGCATTTGCTGCCAAGTTGGACTCACGCGCAAGAGCAAGTTCTGTGATTGCCGCCTCCAACAGGGAGTTGCCACTTGCAACGCTGGCACTACCTCTATCGATAACAGGTGCTCCGTAGACTGGCGGAAGGCACCTGAAGGCACCGCGGGCCGGGGCAAGCGCAGGAATCGACTGCACCAACTCTGGGGCAGTTGCGCTCGCCACCTCGTCCCTGAACTCCTGAAAGAACTTCTGATCTGCTTCGTCTGCGAGGCGCTCCTGCTGAGCGCGATCGCGCTGGAAATTCCAGGCCATGGCCAAGGCGTCCTTCACTGTCCGGCCCGAAGAGCCGCATTCGTGAATCAACTGATCGAGGGCGGCGTCGATCCCGAGGCTCGAGTAGCGCTCCAGCGCCGTCGAGACGAGACTCTGGTTGCGCAAGCTGCGCAGCTGCATGCCCCTAGGAGGGAACGCCTGGAACCCTGCTCTGGCTCGCATCGTCGCTCGCCCGCCTTCCTCTCCGAAGCGTTCCATATCTGCGGGGGGCAGCGCTCTATGCCGGACTGCAGCGGACCGCATGTCACATGCGCCGATCTCGTGGGTCCACGCGCGCCGCGGCCCTCCGGGACGTCGCGCTGGCTGCCGACGCCGGCCCGCCTGCGCCTCCGGCACGGGTGGGCGCGGGGCAGCAGGCGGCGCCTGATGCGCGTCACTGCCATGCTCGGCTCTGGCGCGGAAGTGGACGCCGACGCAAGCGGTCGACAGGTCGACAGCGTTGATCTGAGGGCGCTGCGCGCGCATCTTGACGATCTTGCGCATCTGAGCGCTGGGGACTTCGTTGGGGGCAATGTTGTCTTGAATCAACATCGCCAGCGCCGCCGACAGCAACGCGCATTCCTCGCTCCCAGGACGCGTTGAAGCCTGAAGCTCTGTCGTGAACGCATCCTTCAAGCAGTCGGGCACGCGTTCCATTGTCGACCCCAGCTCTGCCTGATGCAGCAGCTGGAAAAAACGCGTTGGAAAGCTGCCATTCACCAGTGCCACTTCTTGAAAAATGATAGATACTGCATCTGAGATCATGATGAAAGCGAGCGCTGCGTTGCTGTTCTTGCACTCCGATGGTCGGATCAAATGCCAAACGTCGGCATTGAACAGTAAACATTCCACCTTTGCAAAACACGTGGTCTTCAACATTTGATTCGTAAAGACCGCGGCGAGGAATGACCTACTGATTCCGACCTCCCTTGACCGGGCACGCCTCGCAGCAGCCGCCCTCTGCTTCTTCTCGAAGCCAACTGAAGTGAGATTGCACTGCTTGCGCAACATTGTTTTCGAAGGGCGGAAAAAGTTGTTCGCCGGCGCGAAGAATGCGCGGGGGGTGGGATCTGACGCGGGCATGAAATCTTCAGCGACCTTCATATGCTTGCTAAGCCTTTCGTGATACTTTCTGCCGTAAGGTCCGCCAGCGCCACCCTGCTCACCAACCCTCGCGCCCGTCGACGCCGTCGCCGTCGGCGCGCCCGTCTGCGAGGGCTGCCAGATTGCGCCTCCCAGCTGCTTTACTTCCCACAGATCTGCACCAAGACATGAAGGCTGGAACGAGTAGCCCGCGGCACATCTCGATGATCGCCGACTCGGTGGTGCCCCATTTGCTGCGGATCAGCGCTCTCGAACCCCGAGGCAATAACACTTCCGCCAGGGAATCCGCAACCGATGTTTTCAACGCCTCCTCGTCTATGTCACCCAATGAATCCACGAACGCAGCGATCTCGCGCGCGTCAATCATAGAACTGCTGGGGGTCAGATGGAAGAGCACGCGACGGCGAAAATCTCCCGAAATGAACGATTTAAAAACTACTTGGTTGCATGCCATTTCATCGCGTGTCGGATGGCCCACTCGGACATTGACCCGTCTATGGAACTCCTTCCAGAGGTGGTCGTTAAACGAGTGTTTGCTCCCACCCACTTTGAAGCATAATGCCAAGTGTATGGCGCCCTTCAGTGCTTTATCCACGTGATTCATGGCCGTGTTGTGGGCCCTCACGACTGAATGTGCTTGGCATTGGAAGAACGCCCTCACCCAACCAGGCGGGCGCATGGCGTCCAAGAGGCGCTCTCCAGCTCGGTTCGACGCGTGGCCGTCGGCAACGCGCGCCTTATGCTCGAACACGTTCTCTGAAAGCGAAGCCGACCCAGCGCCTGACAACTTGCAGAATTTGTTGCCGAAGGCTGCACCTGGCACACCACGTCCCCCGCAATATACACGTACTGTTGCCCCCCAGACCTCGTCAGCTTGATAATATGATAATGCCGCGATATCCTTGCGAAGAGTTTCGTGGCAGCCTTCGCCCCGAATCCTCTAACCGTTCCCCTCAACATCGCTGGGGCGAGAGACCGCGATGACATCGTGGCGACCTCATCACATGAAACAGCACTGCCAATGCCAGTGCGGGATAATTCGGGGTGCTGGCTTTAAGACTGGATTTCCACAGGCGTCTCATCGTATGAGACGTGGTCGGTGGACTGGATGAGTTGAATCGTCAAGCTCGCGGTGGCTGACCGAGCCTTCACGGCGAAAGCTCGCGCAATCCCGTGTCGATGCCAGCGGTCCAGGAGCCACCCCCACGCCGCAGACCTGATCACCCCAAATTTCACAGCCCACTCGCCCTGTCCAAGTGCATGGGGTTGACTCGCCAATTAAGATCGGATCATACGTCCGAATCCTGCAGATAGGAGCCTTGTGCACACATCTGAAGGCTTTACCTCATTATGCTTTGCAACTGCGAGAACCGAAGATGTGCGAGACATAATTGGGTTCTCCCAGAACAGACGGGGCCAGGGCATGCACGCAGCCACCTCGCTGTCACTCAATTCCAACGCTGGTGAATGTGATTCGGTAACGGCCAAGTCGAGCTTGAGGCGCTTGGCGGCCGACATCAAAACGAGCCACACCAAGACGAGCACACGGCACATGTCCGAGTTCGTGATCGAACCAAGTCGGGCTTGAGCCATGACGCTACGGAGCCCTGTCAAACGAGCCATCGCCAACGAAAAGGGCATTCCCGACGAAAGGTCGCATGAACTGTTCTGAACGGAGGGCAATCACATCTTGCACTACTACATGAGCCCTCACAACTAAGCATGGCATAGCATAACATAGCAATAGTGGCCATCACAATTGATCAAGCATCGTACACACTACTATTTCGTGACTTGCTCCCCGACGAGAGGCCATACCGCTGTTTGACGCCCGCGTCATATACATAGAAACTACAGCTGATGTCATTATCCCATCTCCCCCTCCCCGTCTCTCCTTTTCCCCGTCCCTTGATCCCACTCTCCCCTTCCTTGCGTGCCCTAGCTGGTTTCCCATGCCGTTCCCTTCCACGTGTCTCCCCACCCCCCAATCCCCGAACTTCATTCATGCATTCGCCCTTCCCCTCCCAGTTTAACCCCCCCCCCCCCGTCCCCCTTTGTTCCCTTCCCCGTCCCATTCATTCACATTCCAGTTTCCCTCCTTTCCCAATAGATGTTAATCCTTTTCTCCGTTCGGGCCCTTCCCTTGCCCCCTCCCGTTGTTTTCTCGTTTCCTGCCCCCCCCCGAAAGCACGGCACGGCGGGCACCAGAAAAGGGAGGAGCGGGGCATTGAAACAAGAGGAGCACGAGGGGGGGGCGGGGGGGAAAAGGGGGGACAGGGGGAGCTGGGGGGCATGAGCAAGTGACGCGATACTGCGGGAAACTAACAACAAAGAGGGGGAGGAGAAGGAAGCAAGGGGAGAGAGGGGACGGAACGATGATCGGCAAGGAAGGAAGACACGGGACATACGGACGGTCAGGCGGGAGAAAGGGAGGGAGGGAGGAGGAGGCGGAGGGATATGAAAAAACAAGTGGTGCTAATATGCACGAGGTATCTTTAACAAGAGGAGCGATCGCCTGTATAATAAGAAGAGCGGAAATGGTTAGGGGATACTACACGATGTGGCCATAGGCCACGGGATACCGAATCCATATGCGGCCATGAGCCACTATGGGGCCGTGGGCCACGACGGTGCCATGGGCCATGGGCCGCGATGAAGCCGTGGGCCACGATGGGGCCATGGGCCTTGGACCTCAGGATGATTCATGGGGCCATCGGCGCAGGTTTCTTGATAATGCGAGGCTGCCTGCGAACTCGAACGCGGCGAACGCCGCGCTCGAGTGCAAACTGTTGCGCGCGCGCCAATGCGAGGTCAAACTCAACGCGAATGGCGGTCTTGGCGTTCGCGGGATAATAATTAGAAAGCACGCTGGTTTGCCGACATTTGATAACCCTTTTGCAACCACATTTTTCTGCTTTTAGCAAGGGCTGCGCCAAAACAGCCTTGCGGACATTTCTGGTGCATTTTCCCACGATTCCACGATTCTAGATCTCTATATTAGCTACCAGGAGTGCAAGCCTATAGGGGTGGCCCAGCTCACGAGGCGGCCACGCTGCCGCTGGCGCGATCTCCTTGCTGGCCTCCTCGATCCGCACCAGGCCGCTTGGCGATGCCGCGGCGCTTCCCGAGGGCAGCGTCGGCCCCCTCCGACCGCGCAGAGCCCTCTGTGGCTTCATCCCCGGCCGTGCAAGACGGCAGCAGCGCGGGGCAGGAGGCACAACACACACACACACACACAACGAAAGCCATCCCACGGCCGACGTGACGAGGGAGGAAGAGGAGGAAGAAGAGGACAAGGAGGAGGGTCCCGCAGAATTCTCGGCCCTGGACCTCGCGCTGCGGGCTCTGCCGGATCAGGGCCTCCTCGTGGCAGGTCTGCTTCCGCAGCATCTTGTGGTTGTAGCGCGCCAGGCCCGCGTCGGAGGACCCGAACGCCAGGGACACGAGCACGCGTAGGTGGCCGCCCGCCTCGAAGGCGTCGCAGCACGCCTCCGCGCCCGGGCCGGCGCCGGCGGGCGCCCGCGCGTACTCGAAGGGCTGCGTGCGGTGCTTCAGCCTGCCGTCGAAGGCGACGAAGCTGCTGGGGCGGTACCTGTGCACGCAGGGCGGGACCTGCGCGTCCTGCGGCGCGGAGGCCTCGCGGTACAGGGCGAGGAGGAGGAGGAGGAGAAGGAGGAGGAGGAGGAGGACGAGGCCTCGCGGTACAGGGCGCTCTCCCAGGGCCAGAACTCCAGGCCGCCGACCGACGGCGGCAGCTCGCCCAGGGAGGCGAGGCAGGTGAATGAGCTCCCCCGGGGGATGCGCCGGTGCCCCATGTCCGCATGACGCAGCGTCTCTCGGTCCTCAAGCCTGCAGCGAGAGGAGGTGCCGATGCCGCTGCCCCTGGTCGCCACGCCTGGACTCGCCTCGGAGTCCTGGTCAGAACGCAGCCCAGGAGGCCCGAGGAGTACAGTCAACCAGTATAGTCCGGATGCGCGATAAGGTTGCAAGGGCCTTGGACGCCCATTTCGAAGCTTTTCGAGCAGGGCGCAGCCGACGAAGGTGGCCAAGGATGGACCGATTAGGCAAGGACGCAAGGGTACCCTTGGGAAGGTTGCCCATCCTTACTGTGCGGGTTGACTGTACCCTTGTCGTTCCCCCAGGCCTCGTGCCCTTGACTACGATGAGGGACCCCGCGTAGAGCATCAGATCGTCAGAGCGGCCATCCACCTTCCCCAGCGTCTCGACCAGCCTGGCTCTGGAGGCCAGCTCGTCGAACAGGGCCAGCGTCTCCTCGTCGTAGGCCCAGAACCACCGCATGCTCTCGGAGATGGCGGACCTGTTCACCACGAAGCGCGCCGTGCCTCGCGGCGAGGGCACCTCGCACCCCACGAAGTCTCCGCCCGCCGTCTCCTCGAAGAGCTCGCCGATGTCAGGCATGTTGCGCCAGGTCTGCATCAGGTCGGCCATGGCATCCTCCTCTGCAGGAATCGCAAGCATGGACTGACGACGCACGAGGGTTCGCGACGGGTCCCGTCTCCTGAGTCCAGGGCTGGACCTAAACGTTGTGTTTCGTCTTGTTGTCGTCTTGATTTTCGTTCTGCTCTGCCTGTTTTCCTGTACCGTTCTGCCAAGACGAAAACCAAAACACACCGGGGCCTTCGGTGGAGCTCCCTATGGGGCCACGAAGCGCTGGGGCCTGTGTGGGTGAAAAGCAAGGAGGAAGGAGGAGGGGGGGGGGAGGGAGGACGGGGGGAGGGAGGGAGGGAGGGAGGCGGGAGGAGGAGCACGCGGGGCGCCGTCTCTCCGAAGCGAAGACCCAACACCACAGGGTGGCTGGGAACGGAACAAACAAAGCACGGCCGAAGTCCAGCAGAAACCAGCGTTCAGGTCTGTCCCTGCCCGAGTCGGTGCGCTCCGTCGCAAGATCGGGCGGCACTGTCGCCTCGCGTTTCGGGGGGGGGGCCTCCCCCGATCCGTGTGCCTGGCGCCGACGCGACAGATCCACGGATCCCAAGGGCGCCCAGCTTCGAGCTTCGCGCGAAGCGCGAACAGCTTCGCGCTCTCGCGCCGCCACTCACGGGAGAAGAAGAGGATGAGGATGAAGAGCCGAACCGCGAAGCGCGCAGCGCGCCCTTGGTCTCGGGGGCTGCCTTCCCCGATCCGTGGGTCTGGCTCCGACGCGGCAAATCCACGAATCCCCACTCCATGCCATTGGCGTGCCCGATCCTGGGGGTACCAAGAGGTACCGATACCGCTACCTCTCGGACCTCTCCTGGGGTGCGCTCTGACCAGAATTTCGAGGCGAATCCAGCGGGGGGCGACGAGGGCCTCCGAGGAGGCCCCAAAAGGGGGAGAACGGGAGTAAAATTACGTCGGGCGTGTCCCTCTACAGGAGGAATACTCAAAAACAGCAAAAACGTAGTGTGGAGACGATGCTTTCTGACTATTTGGGGCCATTTTGGCGTATTTCTGGCGCATGCTTAATTTTCCATCCCAACCCCCCCTGTATGGGGAACATACCCGACTTAAGGGTAACACCAAGTGCCCTTTCCTCCCCCTGGCGATCCTCGTGCGGCAGCCAGGCCACGCCTCGCCCCCGCAGCTCCTCCACGCACGCCTCTCGTTGCGGCGAGGCGAGGGGGGGGAGGTGAGAGGAGAAGAATGCCAGCTCGGAAGGCTCGGGAGTCCGACCGCCATCCGAGTTCTCCTTCTCGTTTCTGAAAGGAGCCCTGCGACACACAAACAAATATACACACAAATCAAAGGATCCCCCATGTTTTCCGATATTTCTGTGTGTTTGTCTTCCCCCCCACTTCCCATATCTTCCCATATTTTCCTGGGAGTCGACGATTAATTGTGTCTGTGTGCTTTTGTCCCTGCTGAATTTCCCCTTCTCGCTCGCCGCCGGGCCTCCGCGTCCCAGCAGCCTCCCGGCTGCTCGGCGCGGCCGTAGCCCATGATGGTGGCGGGCCTGGCGGACAGCGCCGCGCCCGAGAGGCGGGGGCGCCTGGCGAGCCCCTGAGCCAACAGGCTGCACACGAGGAGCAGGGATCAACAACACGGGGCATGAACACACAGGGCATAAACAGACAACGTCAGGAGTGGAGCGCGCGAAATGCCTTGGTATGGTTTGTGCAGCCATCCAGGGTCGACCCACGGCAGACTTCGGAGAGGCGCCCGAGAATGCCCCGAGAGGCGCCAGGCAGGCCCAGAGAAGGTGCCCGAAAGAAGAAGATGCACCCCGACAACCATGCCGCGCCAAGACAAGGCTACAGTAGGGGCTCGACCACAAAAAACCTGCCACAAGAAACCCAACCCTGAGACACCAGCAAGTCCACTGATTTTTGGTCTGGGACGTCACGCCTTCCACAGCAAGACCATCGAAACCCAAGAAGCCCAAGGCACCCTGGAGGCAAGCAGGGTGTTCCTTGGCATGGCTCTCCACTGCACGTTGCTCTGACATCTCTCACCGAGACGGCGACCACGAGGAGACGATGCACGAGCATGCGCGACACATCGATCCTGGACAAGCCCGCCCCGAACACGGGATATCCGTGTGTGCTGCACACGGCCTCCTCCCAGCCTGGCCAGGACCGCACGTGCACCGACCCTGGGCCCCGAGGTCTGCCCATCGGGGAGACGCAGAGCAAAGGGGCCCAGGGACACACCAAAAAATAGGCACACATCCCAGGATCCCCCATATTGCGTCATATTTTGTGGGTTTTCGTCTTCCCCCCCACTTCCCATATCTTCCCATTCCCCAATCAGAGCTTGGCTCTGTAGGGGTCCTACCGGATTCATATGGTTAGGTTAGGTTAGGTTTGTCGCGCCGATTTTCGCTGCACGCCCGGGTGCCCGGGTGCCTGGGGGTGCCCGGGTGCCCGGGGGTGCCCGGGGGCGCCCGGGTGCCCGGGTGCCCGGGTGCCCAGGTGCCCGGGCGTGCCCGGGGGTGCCCGGGGGTGACCGGGGGTGCCCTATAGCCCTGTAGCCCCAAGCCCTATAGCCCTACTGCCCTATAGCCCTATAGCCCAATAGCCCAATAGCCCCACAGCTCTGTAGCCCTATAGCTCAATAGCCCTATAGCCCCCTAGCCCTACAGCCCTGATTGGGGTTTTTCTCCGGTATCATATATATTTCCCTGGGAGCCGCCGATGAATTGTGGCTCTCCTGGCAAAAAGGCGGGGCAGGGGCAGAGGTGGGGTTACAGGAAGCCGCTCAGAGGCCCCTGGAAGGGAGGAGGTCTCAGCGTCCAGCTGGGCTCGCTCCCCGACCCCCCACCCTGGGATGGTCCACCCTCTGCTACGAACCCCCGAGCCCAGGGCTCGGAGGCCCCTGGAAGGGAGGAGGTCTCAGCGCTCAGCTGGGCTCGCTCTCTGATCCCCCACCCTGGGGATAGCCCACCCTCTGCTACGAACCCCCGAGCCTAGGCAAGATCGGTACTGCACTGTACCAGATGGAAGAAGCGGCCATCTGAGCCAGCCGCCCCAAACAACGCGAACTCAGACTGTAGACTGCTGTAGCTGTGGAGCGGGCAGAGGAGATGCCGAAACGCGAGAGGAGCTGGGCAGGATTCCGCTTGTCCTCCCACACGCCGTCGACAAGATCGAAACCGCAGTCCTGGTCATCAACACAGTCGCATGGCCCTGCCATCCGCCAGCATGACTTCGGTCTACCCGTGGCCCCACGGGCCCCGACCGCTTGCCGCAGGGCCCGAAGACGGCCCTCGAGGGCCGAAGTCAAGGACAGACCGCCAGCTGAAGAAGTCATCAGATCGTCTGACATCTGGGAACTCCTGGAGACCGTCTTTTGTGGAACCGGCGATAACCGGGGTCATCTGGGGGGGGGGGAGGTGGAGGCCAGCCGATAACCTAACCTTCGCGCTGTGGGCAGCCCTGCATATGCCCGCGCCCCCGCACGCCGGACATGCATAACTGGCAAGGTTAGGTAACCCTGGGGGGGGAGGGGGGGCAAGCCCGATAACCAGTTGTCGCCGGACCCTAAACAAAATCAGTCTCCTGTCGCCCGTAGACTGGCGGCGCACACAATGGGGTAGGCGGAGGGGAGGGATTCTTCTCAAAAGGAGGCTGCTTCTTAGAGGGCGCTGGCCTTGCATCTACAATTGAGGCCCGCGCCTTCTGAGGAGCAGGGGTGCTTCCAGGAAGCCTTCCCCCTCCCCCATAATCCCCCCTCCCCAGACATCCGACTGCTCCAAGCTTTTCGATGCGTGGGCCCTGGAGGTCCAAACCACTTCCCCAGGGCCGGTCTTCGTCCTGAATGGTCTTTTGATGCTCCCGAGGCCCAGCGGGGGGCCCTGGAAGCCGGAAACGGCCAAGAACCGCCCGGTTTGTTCTTTGTTGGAGCGCCGCATCTTCGGGTCTGCGCGCGGCCGAGAAGGGCCGCGCTCCCCCCCCCCTCCCAGCAGCCTGGCATGGGACGCACAAGGACGTACTCGGACCACCCGTTCGCCTTGGAGGCGTGCGTCCGACCCGAACATACAGTATAACCATCTTGTAGTACATCGCTTCCCGAGCGGGATGGCCAGACAGCGCCCGCCACGGCGCGTATACTGCAAGATGTCTGGGTGCGCGCGTCACCCCTGGGGGGGCGACGCACATGCAATATCAGTATGGTAGGGTGACGCCGATGGCAGCCTTTCCAGCCTCCCGGCGCTCTGTCGGGGCGCGCCTGCCGCCCTTCAGCGCGCCGCCGGGGGCCGGCGGCCACTCACAACTCGCCCTTCCCGAAGAGGCCCAGCACCTTCCAGGGGCGGCGGCATCCCGCGGGCTCCCGCATTGGACAAGCGCGCTCCACTGCTCGCAGCGCATCTACTCGCAACTGGCCTGGATCCGCCGCGGGAGACTTGCGATGCATTACGTGCAGGAGGGCATGTCCTTTTCGGAAGCTTGCGAGCAGGCACTTTGCGGGTAGTGGAACGCGCTCGGTGACCCCTCCTGCCTCTCCGTCCCTCTGCCCTCACCGACAAAAGTCTTTAGAACCCCCCTCCCCACTAGGGGGTGGCTAATCATTCGTTCGGCGGCCTTATCGAAGGACTGGGGTTCCACCAATACGTAGGGGGTAGCTAATTATTTGTACGGCGGCCTTATCGAAGGACTAGGGTCCCAGCAATAGGGGGCAGCTACTTGTTTTTCTTCCGCAGCACCCGCCGCACAACAACGACGACGAGGAGCAGGAGGAGCAGGAGGAGGTGGAGAAGGAGGGGGAGAGTGGGGAGGAGGAAAAAGAGGTTTTAGGACCGGTCTTACTCACCACCGAGTGAAAAGGGATGGGGGGATCAACGCTAAAGACCTCCTGAGGTTTAGGCCGCTACAGTCAACCCGCATGATAAGGATGAGCAGTAAGGATGCAAGGGGCCTTGGAAGGCCACGCCGACACTTTGCGAGCGGGACACTGCCAGCGAAAGCGGCCAACGATGGGCCGAAAGGGAAGGATGCCAAGGGTGACCGTCGATAGTTGCCGATCCTTCAACAGTCGCGCCAGTAGGGCGGGCTGGGCCCCGAGAGAGCCATGGGAGCGGCGCAGAGGCCCCCGGAATGCCACGTTGTCTGCCTGACTTAGGTGTGCAAAGTCAGAGCCATAATTTAATCATTTTTGTATGCGTGTGAATGGTTTGTATATTGAAATAAATAACTGTTCCGTCCGGTGCATTTTTTCTCGTGTTTTTTGGGGGTGTTGCGTTGTGTTGTTGTGTTTTGTTGTGTTTTGTTGTTTGTGTTTTCTTGTGTTTTTTAACGTGGGGGGGATCTGCCGCGGTCGATCGCCCGGGGGGTTCGACTGCCGCCCCGGCGCGGATCGCCCCCACCAAAGTTCCCTCAAAAGGGGGAGCTTGGGCGGGGGCTTTTCCCGTAGGCGCCCCCGCTCGCCAGGGAGGGAGCCAAGGGTCCTGGATCGCCCGGGGGGGTCCAGGACGGGCCGACTCGCCCGGGGGGGGGTCGGTCCGAGCGGTGGAGTCGCCCAGGGGGGTCTCCCCCGCTCAGTTCCTGCACGAGTCGCCCGGGGTGGTCTCGCGCGGGAACAGCCCTCGCGAATCGCCCAAGGGGGGTTCCACGGGGGCGAGGTAGCCCGGGGGGCGCCTCAGAGGACCCTGCGCGGCGCGAAGGATTCACGCGAATCTTTCGCGGGACCCTCGCGAATTTCTCGCGGGGGGCCCGGACTCTCGCGAATTTTTCGTGGGAGGCGCAACGGCCTGGACAGTCGCGCATGCGGGCGTGGGGGGGGGGCGAAGAAGAGAGGAGGGGAGGTCCGATGCCAAAGCCTCGAGGGCCACCTCCGGGGCCAAGCGAATGATCGACGGACAATTGGAGCAGGGAGCGGCCAAGGATAGAGAAGGGGGGCGAAGGATAAGAGCCGGAGGGGAGCGCGAGCGGCGCACCGAGGAGCAGAAGCGGAGAGAAAAGGAGTTCTCCGGTTGATCACGCCAAGAAAAAGGCGAGGTTGATGACTAAATTAAGGCTCTGACATTGCACGCACAATCTGACTGCGTCACCGGATGCTCACCTGGGCCCCCTTCTCCCCCGACTGGCTCAGCGGGAGGGCCGCCGAACTGGAGTCGGCGGGGCGTCGCAAAAGGGCGGGGGGAGTTTCCAAGCAGCCCCCCCCCCCCCTTTTGAGCCGGGGCGGCCCCCAGAGCTGCAAAACGCCGGCACAAGGTGGGGAGGGGGGGGGCTTCGGAAGCCCCGCCCTCCTTTTCCAAGGGAAGGGGGGGGTAGCTTGAAGCTGGGGCCCTCCTCTTCTTCGGGGCCCGGCGTGCGCGATCTGCATTGCACGTAGGAGTCGATCCCCGGAAAATCGCCACGGCAGCCGGTCACCATAAGTTCGGCTGGTGCCCTCGTGCGAGACGAAGGGCAACGCGGCAGACGCACAGCCAGGCGGGCATCCTGGAACGGTCCAACACGCCCCCGAAGACCACCTGGGCAGAGCACCGGCCGAACCAGGAATAGGGTCGGGAGGGCGGGCTAAAAACCAACGTTTGGTTCGCTGTCGCCACGGTTACATGGTCCAGGCCACCAGCGGCGACCTATGGACGCTGGCTCGCCTTCTGGCTCACCGTCGGCAAACCCCCCGTCGAGGGTTTTGCGCCGAGTCGCGTGGTTCTGCCCTGTCCAGGCAGGGGCCCGCCCCTTGTCCAGGGACTGCGGCTGCCGCGCTGGTTTGCCTTATCCAGGCAGGGGCCCGTTCCTTATCCAGGAACTGCGGCTGACTTGGGTTTGCCTTGTCCAGGCAGGGGCCCGCTCCCTATCGGGGAGCCGAGCGTTTGCCGCGCGGGCTTGCCTTGTCCAGGCAGGGGGCCCGTTCCTTATCCAGGAAATGCGGCCGCATTTGTGGGCTTGCCTTGTCCAGGCAGGGGCCCGCCCCCTATCGGGGAGCCGAGCTTTGCCTCGTTGGTTTGCCTTGTCCAGGCAGGGGCCCGCCCCCTATCCAGGAACTGCGGCTGCCTTGGGTTTGCCTTGTCCAGGCAGGGGCCCGCTCCCTTTCGGGGAGCCCAGCGTAAACGCGGGCGCCTATTACACAAGGACCTTTTGGCCTTGGCACCGCTCCCTTTCGGGGGGCCCAGCGTAGGCGCGGGCGCCTAGTACACAAGGACCTTTTGCCTTTGGCACGGTTTTCCCTTGGTTCTCCTGGGCGGCGGCAGCAAAGCGGCGCCGGTGGCAAATCGGCGGCAGCAAAGCGGCAGCGGCGCAGCGGAGGAAGGCGGAGAGGCCGCGCGCCCACAAGCGTGGGCAGAAGGCGAATAAACAGAAAAGGCTCAGGTCCAGGAGCCCGCTCCTCGCGATTTTCCTGCCCCAGAAACCAGAGATTTAGGGATTATGAAAATCGCCACGGCAGCCGGTCACCATAAGTTCGGCTGGTGCCCTCGTGCGAGACGAAGGGCAACGCGGCAGACGCACAGCCAGGCGGGCATCCTGGGGCGGTCCAACACACCCCTACGCAACAGGAGGCGCACCTGCAAACGCGTCTGCCCGTTCCAGGTTCTCAGGAAGCCCCCAGAAACCTCCGAAACGCTGAGGCGGCGACATGAGGCAGCAGACAATGACAAAGCAAATCGTGCAACATTTTTCCCACAGCGCCCGATGCACACGATCGTCTGTCAAGGCTCTGCCGCGTCGCTCGACTCAGAGTGGTCGATTAACCACTCCGCGGCCGCCATCGCGCCGCGGCTCTTGGCGCTCGCGTAGCCGAGCGCTGCCACTCCACGCCAGCCGCCATCGAAGAAGAGGGCTGTCGGCCCGCCGGCTCGCAACGCTTCGTCTGCAAAGCCGCGGCGGAAACCGTGCGTGCCCCGCGCTTCGGGGGCGCGGAACCCAGCGGCGCCCATCTTAAGCACGGCCAGCGCTTCAGCGTATTGCACGTCTTCGAAGGGCCTGGCGTGCTCTCGCGCTAAGCGGATTCTCCACGCAACGTTTTGCCCTGGAGCTCACAAATACATCTACGCACGGCGCTGACTGGTTCGTTAAAACATTTCCTACGGAGGGGAATCACCTCGCACTCCCTGCGGCCGGCCTGCGAGAACGAGAATGTCACTGCGTCGCTTCCAAGCTTCATGAGTTCACCATAGCGAAAACATAACTGCCTGGCGATCACCCACGATTCTGCGAGCACCGAATAACCGGCCGCTTTCGTCCAGACGTGGAGCTTCCGCGTCTCTTCGCCCGTGGCCCGCACCTTGGCCCGGCGAGCAGATGCAGGAGTGAGTTTCTCAGTGCCTCTCATCGGCCGTTCCGTGTCCTCCAGAGCGCCCAAAGGGGATCTCCAACCACCGGCAAACGCTCCGGACGTGCGACACGTACCTCTGCAATGACGATCCGTTCCTGAAGAAGCGGATGAAGACGTGGAACACGGCGGGCGACGGAGGCCAGCAGTTCCTGCCAGCTGTAGCTGCTGCTTCACCCCAGAGGCGAACTGCCGAAGCGCACTGCGGGGCGCTCTTCCGCCACCCAGCAAACTCAACCCACATTGCGTGTTGCTCGTACTCGAAGGACGATCTGCCGGTCTGGCGGGCTCTCTTTGCCTCGACCGTGGGCGTGTCCGCGGCCGCGCTTCCCGGGAAAGAATCCAGACGCCCCAGAGCGGTGATCGCAGCTGCCAAATCCCGAGGCGCGGGAATTATTTGTGCGCCCCGGGCGCTGCGGAGCAGCTGAAAGGCCATTGCGCCGGCGCGCGCGCGGGCGTCCCCCGCCGGCGAAACCGCGCGGCCATCTGCCTTGGGGGAAGCTGCTGCCGCTCGTCCCTCTTGCGCGCGGTAGTTTTGGCGGGGCACGTCCACTTCGTTGTGCCATTGGCGCCGGGTACAGCTGCGACAGTGTTCCAGCAACTTCTCCACGAACGCAACCGCGCAGGCTGTGAGTGGTGGAATGATACTCTGCGCCTCGGTCGCCGCCAAGCCGCCCAGGTCACATGGCGACTGGAAACCTGTTTCGGCCAAGGCCGCTATTGAAGCTGCCACGTCCGTGCCCGCAGTGGTCTGCGCAGCCACGGCGCGCACCACTGCAGCCAGACTCGATGTCGGGCCATCCCTGCTTGCAAACTCTTGCGTGGACCCTGCTGCGCGGCTCTGGTTTGTGGATTCCGGAAACATCGCCTTGGGCCCAAAAGTGGCTCCGGATGGTGCCGCTGGCGTGACCCGACCCAGACAGACGATTGATGGCACGTATTTTTTCTCGCGCTCGCAAGCGATGGCCGCGGCGCTTTTTCCTTCAGGCGCGCCGCGGCACGTCTCGCGGGAAAGCCATGCCACCTCG